AGTTCTCATTTTTGATAGTTTCAGGATAAACTCAGATTAATTTCTTCTTCCTATCCCTTTATTTGATCAGTTAATCATAATCTCTTTACAGATTACACACAGACATATAAATTTATATATATACTTTTGTGAGTTTCTCAGTATCTTTAAGCCCATCTATATAACTGGTAGAGTTCTCAGAACCCTCAGTTAATCTACTCTAAATAAGTGTCTGTTAAATTCTTCCAGGTTTTTGTTTAACATTGTTCCATCAATTCACTTTTACCTATCACTTACATTTATGCATTATTGTATATTTACAAAGCAGTTTAACATATGTAAGCATTTTGATCCACCCATTGTTGTTGTTGTTGTCGTTGTCAGGTGCCAGCAAGTCGGCTCCAACTCATAATGACCCTGTGTACAACAGAATGAAACACTGCCTGGTCGTATGCCAGCCTCACAGTGCTTGCTATACTGAGCCCATTGTTGGAGCCACTGTGTCAATCCATATTGTTGAGGGCCTTCCCCTTCTGCACTGACCCTCTGCTTTACCAAGCATGACATCCTTCTCCAGGGAATAGTCCCTTCTGACAGCATGACCAAACTAGGTGAGATGAAGTCTGGCCATTCTTGCTTCCGAGGTGCATTCTGGCTGCACTTTCAGGACAGATTTGTTCATTCTTCTGAAAGTCCATGGTACTTTCAGTATTCTTTGCCAACACCATAGCTCAAAAGCATCAACTCTTCTTTAATCTTCCTTATTCACTGTCCAGCTCTCACATGCATATGAGTCAATTGAAAATACTATGGGTTGGGTTAGGTACACCTTAGTCTTCAAAGAGACAGCTTTGCTCTTCAGCACTTTCAGGAGGTCTTTTGCAGCAGATTTTCCCAGTGCAATACAACATCTGATTTCTTGATCCCTGCTTCTATGGGTGTTGATTGTGGGTCCAAGTAAAATGAAATTTTTGACAATTTCAAACTTTTCTCCATTTATTGTGATGAAGTTTCTTGGTCCAGTTGTGAGGATATTCATTTTCTTTATGTTGAGGTGTAATCCGTACTGTAGTCTTAAAGCTTCTTCAGTAAATGCTTCAAGTCATCCTCACTTTCAGCAAGTGAGGTTGTGTCTTCTGCATATTGCAGGAGTTTTCCTCTAATCCTGATGCCACGTGTGTTAGACTCGGTTCTCTGGAGAAACAAAATGAGTAAAGCTTATATATACAGAGAAAGAGAAATTTTATCGCAGGAAAATGGCTCACACACTTATAGAAGCTGGCAAGTCCAAAGTTTTTGGATCACACGTCAAGCTGGAGGCTTTTCCTGACTCACACAGCTACAGGGGCTGACGAACTCAAGGTTGGCAGGCAGTATACTGGCTGTTGACTCCAACAAATGACGAATCCAAGATCTCTAGGCTGAATGGTGGATTGTTTGCTCATGGACAGTTGTAGGCAGCACAACAGAATCCCAATCCACAGAAGAGTGTCTCTTTTCCCAGGATGTCCATAAATATACTGGAAGCAGGCCACACCCCTAGGGAAACCTTCTTTCAACGAATTGGCTGCTCAAAACATATTCATCTGATCCCATCATGGGAGTAACCACATCACAACTGCTTAAACCACACAGAATTGTGGTCCAGCCAAATTGACACACAGCTCCAACTATCACAGTCCACTCCTTGTCAACTTGGCAGTTGTACACATCTTCTTAACCATATATAATCTCTAAATAAGGACAACTATAAAGTCATGTTTGCTCCTAACATGATACGCTAACACATGTATAACTGAAACACATTAACCTTATTTACATTTTACAGTTCATAACAGAAGGAAACAAAAATATTTGATGCCCATATACAATGAAATATAACAATCACAGTCCTTGTTTCTGCAACTGGTCACGTGGTTGTAGCTGATATTCAGAACTACCTTACCTTCTTCTACCACCCATTCTGTATTTCCCTTGCCCTCAGCAAGCATCTCAGCTGGTCTTGGTTCTTTGCCTGAATGGTCTGGGCCATTAGCAGTCATACCAGAATTGGGTTGCTGTAATTTTCCATTGACTTTAAACAGAATTTGGTACCGGGAGAGTGGGGTGCTGCTCTGACAGATACCTAAAATGTGGAAACAGGAGTGGAGTGCATCCTTGACCTGAGACCCTGGCGAGAGACCCTGGCATACGTCATGACAGACGGCAGGAGCAGAGAAGGAGATCAGCATGAGAGACGGCAGGAGCAGAGCCTAGAGAACCGGCATGACACAGCGACAGCCTTACCAGCCCACGGAGGAGAAAGTTTGATGCCTTTGGTTAGGCAGCTTACTGGTGGAGTGGATTGCCTTTGGGCATTAATTGGTAGAAAAGATGGGCATGAAATGGAGTAGCAGGTTGGCCGCCCACGGAGCAAGAAAGCTAAATGTCCTTTGGGGCAAGAAGATTCCTGGGGAGTGGGTTGCCCTTGGGCATTAATCAGCAGAAGCGGAGACCAAGGAAATGGAAGCAGAGCTGCCTCAGCCTGAAAGGGTAGGACCATGGCCTTTGGGGGTGGAATGATCATAGCCCCCTAGGTTTCAAAGAGCTGGGCCTTCACCAACTTGGTTCTGGAGTGTGGGGCTGCTCGTTCATGTGAGCCAGTGGCATGGAGTCATAGCTGCTGTCCAAGAGTGAGGGGGTGGGGCTGCCATGCCCAAGAAGGAGAGGAACAGGGCCTGCCAGGCCAAGGGGGTAAGGTCGCCACTTAGAGGAACTAGGGGACTGGAGCCATCCAGTGGAGGAGATCTGTACACATGCTAAATTGACAAGAGGTGGAATTGTGGTGGTTATGTTTGTGTGTCAACTTGGCTGGGCCTGGTGGAGTGGCTGGGCAGCTGGTGGTAGTTATTCCCCATGATGAGACTGGCAGTCAGCTCCATGGTGGGATCTACCACAAGCAGGTGAGTAGCTGCTTTGGGTATGTGGTCTGCTTCTCGTATATAAGAAGCAACTTTGGGAATGGTCTCTAGCTTATGGCATGCTTGGACCCTGCCTATAGCCATATCGTTGCTCAGCAGCCTGCTATGCTCTTCCAACCTTGGGACGTAAAGTGGACTTAAGTTAATGGCCTGCCATGTGGTTTGGTAACATCAGGACTGTGCCTTTTTACTTGTCCACCTTGGGGCTCCTCGGCCTCAGCAGGCAGCAGCTGTCTGAGTGAAGAAACGCCTCTAGCTCCAGTGGACCCAGAGCAGGAGGCAGAGCTGGACCCCGAGGTTGAGGGGCTTTCACTCAGCCCCTAGAGCCTGGCACTTTGAACTTGGACTTAACGCCTCCAAATTGTAAGAATAAACTCCTGTTTGTTAAGGCCATCCCATTTGTGGTATATTTCTTGTCAGAGTGGCACTAGGTAACCGGAACACCATGTTCTTCCTATATTTCAGTTTCTTGGATCATTTGCTGAGCATACAGATTGAATAAGTATGATAAAGTAATTCCTTTATATCATATAATTTCACGTGAAATATTTTTTAAGAGAGAAAAATGAAATATGCTTTTTTAAGAGAAAAATTCTTTCTATAAACCACAGTATTATTATCACGCTTCAATATAGCAGTAATTTCTTAATATCATCAGACATCAAATCTGTGTTCTGATTTCTCCTATTCTTTTGTGTTTTCTTTTCCTTGGTTTGTATGAATCAGGAGCCAAACAGAATCCACATGTTATTTTTGTTTAGTATGTGCCTTCAGTCTTTTTTAATCTGAAGGTTATTCTTTTTTCTTTTTTTATCCCTGGCAGTTTTCTTCTTGAGAAAACCAGTTTCATTTTTCTCTACTTTGCCACATTCTGTATTTTACTGTCTGCATCTCTTAACATGTTATTTAACATGCTCATCTATATCCAATATTTTAAATGAACTAATGAGAGGACTAACCTGATTCAGGATTAATTTTTGTCAAGAATATTTCATGGGGCATTGGAGTAACTTCAGAAACAACAGAACACTTAGAGAATGACTGGGCCTGCAGGCTTGGGATCATGGTCTTGGGGACATCATGCTCAGTTGGCACACCATAGTACATAAAACATCTTGTTTTACATCCTAATTTGCTGAGTAGTGACTAGGGTCTTAAAAACTTTCGAGCGGCCATCTAAGATTTAGCTGTTGGTCTCCTCTAGTCTGGAGCAAAGAAGAGTGAAGAAATTCAAAGCCCTTTGGAAACAATTAGTCTAAAGATATGATGGACCATGAGGACCTGAGCCTTCATGACCCTGAGACTAGAACTGGGTGGTGCCCAGCTACCAATGTCAACCACTCAGAAAGGAATCAAAATTGGAGACCTTGGTTACAGTGGGAGGAAAAATGTGGAACAAAATTAAAAAACACAAAATTTACCAGAATTGCTGGTCAGATAGAGACTGGTGGAACCCCTGAGACTACGGCCCCGGTTTACCCTTTGGGCCTAGAAATGTACTCACTTCCGTGGATTGGCTCTCAGCCCAATAGTAGAAAGACCTACTTGCAAAATACCTACCCCAGGAAGATGCACCCACCTACCCCAGGAAGATGTACCCTTAAATCAATCAGCCATGAGACATCAGAGGGGCAGCATTCACATAGAGGGGAAGCTGGACAGACAGGAATGCATAGATAAGAAGGGCACAGGGAGGGGTAGTCACAGGGAGGGGAGGGGAGGGGAGGAGAGTTTTTTATGGTTGGGGATTGTAACTGGGCCATGAAATCAAATGTGCATGAACTGTTGATGTAAAGCAAATCTGCTTTGTAGATTTGCACCCAGAGCACAAAAAAGAAAAAAAAAAGAATATTTCATGGGTGAGTATTCCATCAGGAAGCTACTTCCATCAGGCCATGAATAATGTATAGTTGTCTTTATGATATTAGTATCCATTGATGACTAGATCCATTTCTGTAACTGGGATTTAAACAAGGTGATAGTTGAATCTTATATTAGTTGGAATGCTTCTGTAAAAGCCAAGTTTGAATTTTAAAGCTGTTTTTTTTGTCATTTTCCAGAATGGCTTCCTTTGGATGGAAGAGAAAAATTGGCGAGAAGGTCTCCAAGGTCACTTCCCAGCAGTTTGAAGCTGAAGCTGCTGATGAGAAGGATGGAGTTGAGAATGACGAGGGGAGCTGGCTTCACGCCATTAAACGTAGGAAAGAAATGCTCCTTGAAGGCTGTGCTGAGAGAAGTAAACAGCTGAAGGATGAGGGGGCCAGTTTGGCTGAAAAGAAAAGGTATGGTTTTAGAATTTTCTCACAGAGGACAATTGGCATTTTCTGACTCACCTTCATTAATGGGATGAAAAGCTATTGAATTCTGTAAATGAATATGTGAATTTTAAAATCTGATGTAGGTCCTACATTAAGAAACAAGAAGTTTGAATATGACCTGAAAATTCCCATAGAGGATGAAAGTTTGTAAAATAGTCTTCAAGATGCTTATGTTTTTCTTTGCTGTCATTTCTATTCTGTCCGAAGAAGAAGAAATGCTGACTAAGATGTAATCTAACTTACTGGTTTGTAGGAGATGGCCTCATCTCTGCAAACTTTCTCCTTATGGCTTTATATACAATAAATCATTTCCAGGTAAATTAGGTATTTTCTGAACAGCTTTGAGGGAGCTCTGGTGCTGTAGTGGGTAAGGTTTTGGCTGCTGACCAGAAGGTCAGTGGTTCAAACCTACCAGCTGCTCTGCAGAAAGTAGACAGGGTGATCTACTGTAACGATTTACAGCCTTGGAAACCCTGGCTGTGAGTCAGAATCGACTCAATGGCAGTGACTTTGGTTTTTTGTTTTTTTTGAACAGCTTTGAGAGCATATACTTTTTTTTTTTTTTTTAATAGTTGATCAGTTACCCTTTCCCATTTATTTCTTACGTATTTTTAGAAATATGGTTTGGTTAACAACAACAACATTTTTAGAAATATGGTTTGGTACACAGGAATTTGATAATAGTTTCATTCATACATATCCCTTCCTTACCTAAGCTTTTACACACTTCCAGTACACACCCTTTTATTTTCATTTTCCCTTTCTTATTTTATCATTCTTTTCTGCTTTCCTTTGCTTAGAGCTTTCAGTGGGACTGAAAAATCTTTTTTCCAAAAAGTCGGTGGGGGAAGGATGAATTGTTTAATAGATCTGGTTGGAAAAACTAAATTAGTATGTAAAGGAAAATAAGACTGGATCCTGATCTCTCTAATACTACATACGTGGATAGACTCTGTTGTTTTTGTTACGTGCCGTCGAGTTGGACCCGACTCATAGTGACCCCTCCTTGGGTTTCTAAGGTGGTAATCACTACGGAAGTAGATTGCCCAACCTTCCTTCCGATGATGAGTGGCTGGTAGATTTGAACCACCAGCCTTCTGGTTAGCAGTCACGTTCCTTAGGCACTATGCTATCAGAGCTCCTAGATAGACTCTAGGGGAATTGTAAACCTAAATGTGAAAGGTAAAATTATACAATTAATATAAGAAAACATGGAAGGACTTTAAAATTTTTTTTTTTTTTTAAGTATTTAAAGCATACTTTAAAATAGAAAGAATAGTACACATGTATTCCCTATGTCTGGACTCAAACGTTCTTAATGTTTGCTTTGTTTCTCTCTTTGTGCACATGCACACGTGTACATAAAATTTTATGTTTGCTTTTTTTTTCTGACCCATTTGGGGGGTTGGGGAATAAGGAGCTCTGGTGGCTTAGTGCCTAAGGCATTTGACTGCTAACCAGAAGGCTGGCAGTTAAAACCTACCAGCCACTCCTTGGAAGGAAGATTGGACAATCTACTTCCATAGTGATACTACCTCAGAAACCCGAGGAGGGGCCAGTATGAGTCAGATCTGACTTGATGGCGGTGAGTTTTTTTGTTTTTATTGGAAAATAAGTTGCAGACATAATGACACCTTACCCCAATTCAGTATGCTTTCCTAAGAATAAGGGTATTCTGTTACCTAACATAATACCATTGTTATTCTTTTGAAATTTAACAATGATTCTGTAATCTAATACATAGTCTGTTCTTAGATTTTTCCAGTTTTCCCTTAAATGTCTTATACAGTATTCTTTTAAAAACCAGGATCCAAACAACTTGCATATTGCATTTGGTTATTAGGTTTCTTTAATGTCTGTTAATGTATAATGGATCCCCTGCTTTCCCCCCCATGACACTGACTTTTTGAATGACTAGTTTGCTATTTTAATGTTTTGTTGTAATGCCATTTAATTTGTTTTCTCTCCCATGTACTTTTTTTAAAAAATCATTAGAGATTGAAGTTTATTGAAATAACAAAATAGAGAAGGAAGATTCTATTAGAAACTGGTATAGCTGGTTTTAGGTGACATTGTTATTAAAGTGAAATGTTACTCATATTTCTCAGCCCCCAGCATGTATAAAATTAACATATAAATGAAGAAATTTCATTGAAAAAAAAAATTCCATGCGGTGCTAAAATCGTAACTTGATTAAAGGTTCCCTTTTCTCTGCAGCACTTCTAAGTTAGCTGTGGGGACCTCTTACTGGTGCCAGACTGTCATACTGAAAGCAACTCTTGCTCCTCACTGGAGCCATCCACGGGATTTTACATTTCATTAAATTCCCTTTATTCGTGCCATGTATTTTTTTGTAAACTGAAAATTAGCTGTGGAGGTTTGATTGAGATTCTGGTTAAACATTTTTGGCCTGAATATTTTATTGGAATGTTCTCTATATCATGGTGGGAGATACGTAACATCAGGTGGTCTCTGTTAGTGCAGCCCTTTGGAAATAGTGTGCCTCTGTCTTTGTTTGCTGTGCTTAATATGTGCTAGAAGTCATATTTTTATAAAAATCTTAAAGTCTTTGTTCTTGATGAAGACAATATGATAGGAAAATTATATTTGACAGTGTGAGAAATGCTGATTTATTATTTGCACTAAATACATGATTTCTAGAAGATATGTACAGTCAACAGGGGTAGTAACTGTCTAGTTCTTTGACTGGAACAGAGTACTCTTCACATTATCACAAAATCTAAAATCAGGATTGTGTGCCTGTGGCTGGTTATCTTCCATGTTGTATTGAGGAGTCTGAGAAATTGAAAGACAACAAAATAATACTAAGTAAAATAACCTTTTTTTTTTTTTTTTTACATAATAAGGTTATAAGATTCTTTGTAAATATGTTTGATAAAAAATGAGACAAAGTTGAGGAACCAACTTTTTTCCTAGTTCTGTTTTAATTTTTGATTTTGAGGTTGTATTTTAAAACATAAAATGGTGCGTAAACTATCGTCAAATTCATCTTGCAGTAAACGTTAGAAAATACTTAACAATTAAATACAGATAACAAGTTAACAGCCTAATGATTGATTGTGAAATCTCATTTGTTGTATTTTAGGCATAAATACTTTTCTTTGTATAACTTTGCAAGATTGACTATGCTATTATAGAAGAAAGCCAATTGTAAATTCTCCACATTTATGATACCACTTTCAGAACATCCATAAAACATCAAAGACATTCTCTAAATGTCTGGTAAAAGTTAATTAACTTTGCCGTTTTTGTTTCTCGTTTTGCTGTTTTCTCTAGACCACACTGTTTGGGGGAGGAGAAAAACTATTCAGTGATTGCCATGGGATTCTCTCTGAATTTCCTGTGGTGGAGGACAGATAATCCATTTTGTCGAAAAACAAAATAACTTTTGTTTTTTGCCTGCATGTCAAAACATTGGCATGCTTTATTTTGAAGAGAGAAGATGGAGATGATTGAGTTTTTTATTCTTTAGCATTGTTTTAGAGTGATATATACACAGTTTGAAATGTTTGAACAAACATATGAAGCTCTTGAGGTGCTCACCTGTCTCTGCCAAGAATTTGGAAAACAACTATCTGTCCAGCCAACAGAAAGAGATCTGTATTTGTGTCTATTCCAAAGAAATGTAATCCAACAGAATGTGGAAATTTTTGAATAGTACGATTAATGTCACAAGCAACTAAAATGTTGCTAAAGGTAATTAAAAAATGGTTGCAACAGTCCACCTATAGGGAATTGCCAGCCAGTCAAGCTGGATTCAGAAGAGGACATGGAACAAAGGATATAATTATTGATGTCCAATGGATCTTGACTGAAAGCAGAGAATACTAGAATGATGTTTAACTGGGTTTTGTTGACTGTGCAATGGCATTCACCTGTGTGGATCATAACATTTCAAAGAATGGCAGCTCCAGAACACTTAATTGTGCTCGTATAGAATTTGTATGTAGACCAGGAGGCAGTGGTTGGAACATAACAAGCAGATTCTGCGTGGTTTAAATCAAGAAAGATGTGCGTCAATGTTGTATCCTTTCACCATCCTTATTCAGTTTGTGTGCTGTGATGGTTAAGCTTGTGTATCAACTTGGCTAGGCCTGGTTGAATGGCTAGGCAGCTGGATATAGTTAGTATTCCTCATGATGAGACTGGTAATCAACTCCATGGTGGGATCTACTGGGAACAGCTGAGTAGCTGCTTTTGAGTATGTGGTTTGCTTCCCATATATAGGAAACAGCTTTGGGAATGGTCTCTAGCTTATGGCACCTCGAACCCTGCATGTAGCTGTGTCGTTGTTCAATAGCCTCCTGTGCTCTGCCGACCTTGGGACTTAAAATGGATTTGAATTAATGGCCTGCTGTGTGATTTGGTAATATCGGGACTGTGCCTTTTTATTTGTGAACCTTGGGCTTGGCAGCTTCAGCAGCCAGCAGCTGTCTGAGTGAAGAAAAACCTCTGGCTTCAGTGGGCTGGGAGCTGGAGGCAGAGCTGAAGCCCAAGGCTGAGGGGCTTTCACCCAGCTCCTAGAGCCTGGCGCTTTGAACTCGGACTTCTGGCCTCCTGAACTGTAAGAGAATAAACTGTTCAAGCCGTCCCATTTGTGGTATATTCTTGTCAGAGTAGTACTAGGTAACCAGAACATGTGTTAAGCAAATACTATGAGAAGCTGGACTATACAAAGAGGAATGTAGCATCAGTATTGGAGGAAGACTCATTAGCAACTTATAATATGCAGGTGACACAGCTTGCTTGCTGAAAGTGAAGAAGACTGGAAACACTTACTGATCAACATCAAAGACTGTAACCTTCAATACGGATTATTCCTTCAACATAAAGAAAACAAAATCCTCACAACTGAATGATTGAGCAACATCATAATAAACAGAGAAAAGATTAAAGTTGTCAAGGATTTCATTTCACTTGGTTCCTGCAAAAAAGGCACAGGG